CATGGCAGTGGGGGATACACAGTGAGCCGTGTGTTAAGGTCCTTTTTCAAAGGATGAACGACAACACTAAGATTAGACATGGTGTCAGCACCGGGTCAGGAGAGCCAGTGAGGCCAAATGAGTGTGGAGTTGGGGTGAGTATTCACTAGAGATTTTCAGACAGAACCTTGTGATCACCCAAGAGGCTGGAGAGATGGCTCAACAGTTAAGAGCAGTGGCTGTTATCCCAGAGGATACGGGTTCAATTCCCAGCACCCACATGGCAGCTCACAACTGTTTAAAACTCCAGTTCTAGGGGACCTGACACCCTCATACAGACATACATGTAGGCAAAACACCAATGCACATAAAACAAAATTAAAAAAACCATGCCCACCCCACAGATTCTCTGGAATATAAAGAAAAGCCAACTGGGTCACACAGTGAGCCCAATGCACTTACCACCCAGGTGGTTCCTTCCTGACATCTGTATCTACCTGTTTCCCCTACCCTTGCATGACTTTGAAGAAAATATATTCTTTTTGGTTTTCATGTTGAACCTCAGGCCTATAGCCCTTGGCTATATACCGGCCCTCTAACAATTATTTTTTTTTAAATATTTATTTATTATGTATACAATATTCTGTCTGTGTGTCTGCCTGCAGGCCAGAAGAGGGCACCAGACCCTATTACAGATGGTTGTGAGCCACCATGTGGTTGCTGGGAATTGAACTCAGGACCTTTGGAAGAGCAGGCAATGCTCTTAACCACTGAGCCATCTCTCCAGCCCCCTCTAACAATTATTTTGACGTTTTTGAGACAAGGTCTCACGCAGCCTAGGCTGGCTTCACGTTCACTGTGTAGACTCCGCATCCCCAGGTGTTGGGGTTACAAGGCATGCCTGCAGCACTAGGTGCTTGTTCCGTTGCTGGCGTCAATACCCCAGGAAAGCAAGCTAAGGAAGGAAGGGCTATTCTGGCTTACAGTTCCTGCAAACAGTCTTGTGTTGGGGGAGTCGTGGCAGCTGGGACCTGAAGGCAGCTGGGCACACACTTTAGCCGGCAGGAAGCAGAGGAATGTGCTCAGCTGGTTTTCTCGATTTTAGTGAGTCCAGGTCCCCAGTTCACAAGTTGGGAGCATAAGCATTCAGGGTGGAGTTATCCCACCTTAATCTAATGTAGATAATCTCTTACAGACGTGCCCAAACCAAATGTTAACTCAGGTTCTGACTCACTTCTGCTCAACCTTTGCTTGCTTTTTTTTTTTTGGTTTTTCGAGACAGGGTTTCTCTGTGGTTTTGGAGCCTGTCCTGGAACTAGCTCTTGTAGACCAGGCTGGTCTCGAACTCACAGAGATCTGCCTGCCTCTGCCTCCGGAGTGCTGGGATTACAGGCGTGCACCACCACCGTCCGGCCCTTTGCTTGCTTTTATTTGAGGCAGTGTCTTACTATGTAGCCTTGGCAGGCCTCAGTTTCAGTGATCCGGCTGTCTCTGGGAGGCCAGTTTTATTTTTCAGATGGGGTCTCACTCTGCAGTCCAGACTGGCCTCTAACTCGAGATCCTTTTGTCTCACCCCAGGATTAGTGTTATGGCCCACAGGCCTAGCTGCTGATGTGGGGGGCAGCCATGAAAGCAAAGTCTGGGCAGCTCATCCAAAGGAAGTTCTTTACTTCCAACCATTATCACCTGGGACTCTGGCCATCGATAAATTTAAATGGAGTCTGGAGTCTCAATAGCTTACCCAATTCTTTTTTAAAGATTTATTTATTATGTATACAGTGTTCTGTCTGTATATATGTCTGCAGGCCAGAAGAGGGCACCAGATTTCATTACAGATGGGCGTGAGCCATCATGTGGTTGCTGGGAATCGAACTCAGAACCGAAGAGCAGTCTCTCAACCTCTGAGCTAGCTCTCCAGCCCCTAAAAACCCAATTCTAATTGAGCTTGGGGCTCTCTGGATATTCCAATATGTTGGACATGCGGAGAGAGCGAGTTTGCAAACTTGATTAAAATAAAGGCTCTTTGCTTTTACATATGGTACTTGGTCTCCTTTGTTGGCTTTTGTCGGGACCCACGGATTTGGGCATTACACAACTCTTGACTGGCTTTCCTTAATTATTAGATAAGGACAAAACTCAACAAGGCTGAAGGCCTTCCAGTCTCAAAGCACACCGCACTCCTGCGCCTTAGTTCAAATCCCATGACCTTTCAGCCTTTGCACTCACAGTCAAAGCAGACTTCGGTTTCCCACCCTTCTGTGTAGTGAGGTACAGATCTTACACCGCGTCTCGGTTCATTAAATTGAAAAAATAAAAATAAAAGGAGCCTTCCCTGTCCTAAGCCAAGATTTTCTCATTAAAATATTCCAAGTGTCTTTCGAGGCTGCGAGGAGGTGACCTCAGCTACTCCGAAGGCGGAGACACGAGGATCGAGAATTCTACACATGGGGAGACCTTGTATCAGACAAAACCTACCCGCCTCTAACTTGTTCCTCCGCAGCTAGAATTCTACCGGTCTGTTTATCTCCTTCCGTGCTCCCTCTCCACCAGACGGTGGGCCTCGGGAAGGGACGCCCCGATCTGCCACCGTGTCTCCGGCTCCGTAAAGTCTGTCCGGTAAGTAAATGAACTCCTGTCTCCCTCGAGGCTGGACGGGGCGGAGCACCCGCAGGGCACGATCCCGCAGCCGGGGCCGCGCAGCACCGAGGGCTGGACCGGAGACCAGGGCTGGCCGAGCGGGTCGCCCACCGGCAGAGTGACGTGCGCTGCCCCGGAAGGAAGTCGACCACGGGGACTCCCTGGAGAGCCGGGGCGGAGCCGCCCGCTGGCCGCCGCCCGCGCGTCCCTCCCGCCGCCCCTCGAGCCCCGGAGACCGCCTTACCCGCCCTCCCGGCCGCGGCCGCCGCTCCTCCGGACGCCGAGCGTTCGGGGCCGGAACCCGGAGACAAGCCGGTGCCGATTGGCGACGCTCCGTCACGTGACCGCAACGCTCCGCCGGCGCCAATTTCAAACAGCGGAACAACTGAAAGCGGCGCTGCGGGACCCACCCCCGGCCCGGGCTCCCCCCGCACCCCGCCCCGGGCTCCCACCCCGGCCGTCCCTCCGGGACCCGCCGCCCGGGCCTGCCTCGGCCCCGCCTGGAGCAGCCGTGGCGTGTGAGGTGAGTGCGGTGCAGAAAGGAAGTCCCGGGCCGGGCCGGGCCAGGGGAGGGCTCGGAGTCGGGACTGCCGAGGCTGCGGGGCGCGAGGGGGCGATGGGGACCGCCGGGCAGAAGGTGTGAGCCGGCCGGCCTCGGCCTTCCCGCCGCCTTCTCCGAGCACCCGGAGGTCCTGGGAACAGACCTGCCCTCTGAGCCTGCACAGGCGGTCAACCCTGCCTCCGCCTCCACGGTTGCAGGGCGGGATCCTTAGCTGAGTGTTGCAAGGTTCCCGGTTCGGTGTGGAGAATGGGGGTGACTCTGCAAGTCGCGTCCGGTTCGAAGGTATTAGGGAGTATTAGGAAGAGAAAAGGTCAACGAGAAATACCCTGTGGTGTGGGGGTGTCTGCTACTTGATTGGGGTGGGGTGTAATGTGAAGCAAAATGAAAACTGAGATTTGAAGGTAGAGAAAAGGAAATATAAAGAAAAGGAAGCCACAGGATGGACGGGACCTAAGAACCCTAAGCAGCTGGCAAATGTCAAAAATGGGTAATCCTTTTTTGGCAGGTGTCCTAAAAAAAGGAGCTGGTTTCCCTGTTTCTTGTCATTCAAAATAGAATGACAGGATTTAAATTAATGATAAGTTATTTTGTATATCTATGAAAATCTATAAAATGCTTCTTCTAAAGAAAAGACTACTCCCTTAGCATTTCAGAGGCACTTTAGCATGGTCAGGCATGGTGGCAAATGTCTGTAATCTCAGTATTTACAAAAGTGGGGTCCAAAGGCTCAGCAGTTCAAAGCCAGCCTGGACTACATAAGATTGTCTCAAAAATAAAAGCCACCTTGAGCATATTAATGGTAGCAACATCCTAGTAGGCAGGAGATGTGTAAACCAAGACTGCTAGTTTGTTACCCCGGCTGGCAGCTTCTTTATTAACCGATGGTACTAAAACATATTCATAGCATACAGAGGGGAATCCCGCATCAGAGATGGGCATTACAATCTTACTTTGAAGCAGAAAGTTAAGGTATATAAAGTAACATACTTACAAAACTCAAATGCCATAAATATTTGCAAGTACAGAGATGTTACTGTTTTGTTTTGTAAAGCAAGAGGACTGGGGTTTTATTGTAGAGCACTAACCAAGCATCACAGAGCCCTGGGTTCAATCCCAAGCAACACAAAAACCTGGCTCATGGCCAGGCCTGTGACTCTAGCAGGTGTAGGCAGGAGAATCAGAAATGTAAGGTCAGCTGCATTGTTTGAGACCGACCTAGGCTAGAAGAGACTATGTCTCCTCCTGGAAAAACAACACTGTGGGTTTAGCTCAGAGGTAGTAGAGTCCTTACCTACTGTGTGTTCAATGGCCAGCAGTGAAAATGTGAAATCGTTGACTTCACGGTTTTGCAATAGGCTTTGAATAGGGAAGTTCCCCCCCCCCCCTTGGGAGATCCTGCAGGCTAGGAGGTGATTTCATAGGTGCCTCTGACTATGTGCACCGAACCTCTGACCTGCAGATAAAAAAGCACCAAGACTGTATCACAGACTGGGTTGCAGAATCAGAGTTTTGTCAGGACTCCTAATTGCCACTTGTCCATCCATTCTCCCACTTGTCCATCCATTCTCCCACTTGTCCATCCATTCTCTGGTCTTTCACCTCTCTCTACAGTCCTTGCAAGTGACTTTCTGAATTCTGGGGGACCGGCAGTTTTTCCCCCTTGTTATAGATGTCATCTCACTTATTCTGATATCCAAACATTAAAAAACAATGTTTTCACATGTTTATTGGGGGGTGGCACCCACATGTTGGAGTTGGTTCTCTCCTTTCACCCTTGTCCCAGGGATTGAATTCAGGTGTCAGGCTTAGCAGCAGGCGATTTAACTCACTGAGCCATTTTGCCAACCCCAAACAATCTGGGTTTTGTTTGCTTTTTTGTAATGCTGGGAACTGAACCTAGGGCCTTGCAGAAGCTAACAAGCACCCTCTCGCTAAGTTGTGTTATATCCACGGCCTGGCCAATAGTGAGCTTCCAGGAGATCATTGGCTCCAATTCAGTCCCATGTTCTCCACTTGAATTGCTTGCTTACTGTAATTTTTAGCTTTCCTTGGTCAGTAGTAGTGCTTCATTCATTCATTTCATTTTATTTCATTTTTTGAGACAATGTCTCATGTGGCCCATGCTGACCTTGAACTCACTATCTGGCTGAGGGTGGCCTTAAACTTTGTAGGTTCTGGGATTACAAGTGTACAACAAATCCAGGTTCTGTCCTTATTGTCTGAGGGCTCGACAGGGACACCGCCAGCATTCCCCTGGGCCTCTGGGCTTCTGCTTGTGACCATTCGTACGAAGGACCCCTTCCAGTTTGTCTCCACTCCGCCACTCTGTGATACCAAGCTTCTCCTTGCCCCTGCAGGGTCAGTGCTTGTGATTCTCAATGGAGAGCGAGAGCACAGCTTCATGATGAGAACCAGCCCCCGGCGGCCACTGATTCTCAAAAGACGGAGGCTGCCCCTTCCTGTTCAAAATGCCCCAGGAGAAACAGCAGAGGAAGAAGCAAAGAGAGCCCCTGCCCAGCAGGAGCCTACTCAAGCACAGGCCTCCCAGGAGGTGGCAGAGTCCAGTTCCTGTAAGTTTCCAGCTGGAATCAAGATCATCAACCACCCCACCATGCCCAACACACAAGTGGTGGCCATCCCCAACAATGCCGACATCCAAAGCATCATCACAGCACTAACTGCCAAAGGGAAAGAGAGCGGCAGCAGTGGACCCAACAAGTTCATCCTCATCAGCTCTGGGGGGACCTCATCTCACCCTCCTGGTCCCCAGCCGCAAGCCCAAACCAGCCATGATTCCAAGAGGACTGAAGCGAGCACTGAGACGTTGGGACCAAAGCCAGCAGCTAAGGGTGTGCCTGTTCCCAAGCCACCTGGAGCCCTTCCAAGGCAAAGACAGGAAACCTGTGGTATGTGGTTTATAAGGCAGAGGGGTGTGAAGGCTGGCCTTTCTCCTCCCCGCCTGCAGTCAGTCGAGCTGATGAATGTGATAGATAGGAATCTAGGAGGGGCCACGACAAAGGCTCGCTTTTCTTTATCCTGAAACTCTGAGCAAACCATCTGGGCACTGTTGAAAGGGTTACCGTAATGTAACATTCCCATCTCTCTCTTTATGTTGGAAAAGGATTTGTTGATTGACTGGTTGGTTGATTTGATTTATTCTTTGTACGGACCTGTGTCTTAGTCACTGTTCTATTGCTCTGAAGAGACACCATGCCCAAGGCAACTCTTATGAAAGGAAGCATTTAAGTGGGGGCTTGCTTAGTTTCAGAGGTTTAGTCCATTTTTCACCACGGTGGGGAGTGTGGCAGCATTTAGGCAGGCACTGAGGCAGTAGCTGAGAGCTACATCCTGATCTGTGGGCTGAGAGAGGCAGAGAGAAGCTGGGCCTGACACAGGCTTTTGAAACCTCAAAGCCCACCCACAGTGACACACTTCCTTCAACAAGGCCACATCTCCTAATCCTTTGAGAAGGTGCTACTTGCTGACTAAGCATTCAAAAATGAGCGTATAGGGACCGTTCTTATTCAGACCGCCGTAATCCAGTAAGGAAGTAAATCTCCATGTTAAAGGGATAAATTGGAGTCTGGGGGAGAAAAATTATTTTCTTTTGTAGCTATCCAAAAAATTGCCTTGACAGATGCCTAAGGTTCTATCTGACACATTGAGATGGAGTTCAGCGTTCCTGAGTTTCTCAAGTCCATCAGGAGGCAGAGTAACTTAGAGCCACAGTGATTTGTGATTTACCGTGTGTTCCCTGTCCCTAAGAGCTGAGCTGGAGGGTTATCTCCAGCCATCAATTTTGATGGAGCTGCAGGACATCCGAAGAGGCTGCTAATGGAGTCTTGGGTTGTTTTCCTTATAGCTGGTGGCGAAGCGGCAGGCTGCACGCTGGACAACAGCTTAACCAATATCCAGTGGCTTGGGAAGATGAGTTCTGACGGGCTGGGCCCCTGCAGCATTAAGCAGGAGATGGAGGAGAAGGAGAATTGTCACCTGGAGCAGAATCAGGCTAAGGTGAACGAACTGTTCTGTCCCTCACTCATTAGGGAAGTCAGAACCGCTTAGTGCAGGGGGTTTCTAAGAAGGGAAATGGATCGAGGAGCTACTGGAGCGGAACATCCAACTTCTCTTATTGACACCACTTAGTGCTTTTGCTTTTCTGTGTAATTTTTCTTTAATTTTTTTTTTTTTTGGCCGGGCAGTATTGACACATGCCTTTAATCCCAGCACTCGGCGGGGCGGGTCAGAGGCAGGCAAGTCTCTGAGTTTGAGGCCAGCCTGGTCTACAGAGCGAGATCCAGGAGAGGCACCAATTACACAGAGAAACCCTGTCTCGAAAAACAACAAAACAAAACAAAATAAACAACAACAACAATAAAAAAAAAAAAACCAATACAGTTTGTATGTGTAAAGCTATATCTCAACATTTTAAACTGAATGATCAGATCTTTGTGTCCTTTAAAGCGTTTGCCCCACACTTGACTGTGGCTGCTCTACAAACACTGAAACAGGATGGTTTACAGTCCGTCAGGACCACACATGGAACTGAGACCTAAGACTTTCGCCCTGCAGGTCTGAAAACGGGCATGGATTCGTACAAACCATCCTGCAGACCCCAACTAGAGAATTAGCTGGAAGAGACTCCAGTTGTTTTTTGTTTTTAATAGACAGGGTCTTATGATGTAGCTTAGGCTAGTTTAGAAAAGGTTTTGAGCCCGGGCAGTGTTGGCACGCGCCTTTAATCCCAGCACTCGGGAGGCAGAGGCAGGCAGATCTCTGTGAGTTCGAGGCCAGCCTGGTGGTCTACAGAGTGAGTTCCAGGACAGGCTCTAAAGCTACACAAAGAAACCCTGTCTTGAAAAACCAAAAGAAAAGGTTGAGGATGACCTTGAGTTCTAGGTCACTCTGCCCTACTGCTGACATTGCAGACGTCTGTGTCACCATAGTCCATTCATGTGGTGCTGGAGATCCAGCCCAGGCCTTCATGCATGTTGGGCAAATCTTGTGCCAACTGAGCTAGGTACGTTCCCAGCCTCTAGGCTTCTTATCAGGCAATTTATCTTCAGGAAGAGGATGGAAGTGAATCAGTTCCTAATTGCTGGGGGTCTAGACTAACAATGCCTGATCACTGATCGCAAACTTAATTCCATTATGAAATAGTGGTCTCAAAGAAGCGTGTTTTTCTGGTCAGAGGTGGCAAAGGTCTTTAACCCCAGCACTTGGGAGGCAGAGGCAGGCAGATCTTTGTGAGTTCAAGGCCAGCGTGGTCTACAGAGTGAGTTCCAGAACTCTGTGTAGCTCTGCAAATAAACCCTATTTCAGGGCGAGGGAAAAGTTTGTTTTTAGTATAGACTAGAGCAGTGGTAATTGGGGTCACATATCAGATATTTACATTATGATTCATAACAGTAGCAAAAGTATTGTTAGGAAGAAACAACAAAATAATCTTATGGCTGGGGGACAGCACAACATGAGGAGCTGTTATTAAAGGGCCAGCGTTAGGAAGGTTGAGAAGTGCTGCTCAGCGGGCTGGGGGTGGGGTGGTTTCCATGAACTCTGTGTCACTCTCCGGTCCCTCTCCCTTCGACTACTCGCACCACACAGGTTGAGGAGCCCTCAGGAGCGTCCACGTCTTGGCAGGACTCTGTGTCTGAGAGGCCACCCTACTCTTACATGGCCATGATACAATTTGCCATCAACAGCACTGAGAGAAAGCGTATGACCTTGAAGGATATCTACACGTGGATTGAGGACCACTTCCCCTATTTTAAGCACATCGCCAAGCCAGGCTGGAAGGTACTGTGCACCATAGCTGATGTGAAGGTCATTATGGTATAACTCTTTCTCACTCTGCTTCAGATTGTGTCGTAATGAAAAATAATATAAAAAAATTATGAGAGATTAACTTCCTGGAACATCTAGTGGGCCGGGCCTTTTCTTTTTCTCCCTTTTTGAGACAGTCTTACTATGTTTGACTGGCTGGCCTCAAACTTCCAGTCTTCCTGTTTCAACCTCGGGAGCAGATAGGGGTGCAAATGTGTGCCACCATACCCACTGGGCAGGTGTGTCTTGTTCTTTATCTCATGCACTGGGACTCCAAGACAAATGCCTGGGAATCTGTGTCAGAATCAGAAAGTACATATGTATATATACACATATATGTATTTGCATTTACTTATTTGCTTGTTGCAGAGAGGTCTGTGTGTGGTGGGCATGTGAAGGTCAGAGTTGTCTCTCAGTGTGAGTTCTGGGATTGAGCTCAGGCTTGGCAGCAGGTACCTTTACCCATCTTTCAGTCCCTTGCATTACATCGAAAAGCTTGGGTAGAATGGGACTTGCCAGACTGGAGATGTAGCTCAGTGGCAGAGTACTTACCTGCCACGCGCAAGAGCCTGGGTTTGAAGTGGGATTTGCCAGGAAGAATGACATCTGACTCCTATTTGACCCAGCATGTGCCCTCGTGTCCTCTCTGCAGCCTGCCCTGCATGGCTTGCCTGCAGTGCTGACACCTGGGCTGTCTGACACCTGGGCTGTCTGACACCTGGGCTGTCTGACACCTGGGCTGTCTGACACCTGGGCCACCGGTGGCAGCAGTGCTACAGTTGTATCTGATCCTCACATTGGCATCTTCCTAGATCTCTAAAATCAAGATTTCCAGTCTCTGAGATAGGCTCTTGCTAGGTAACCCAGCCTAGCTGAACTCTGCATCTTCCTGCCTTGTCTTCCTAAGTACTGGGAATATGGGTGTGTGCCATGTGTTCAGGCACAGAGATAGTTTTTCCTGCTGCTGCTCCTGTACCTTCGGTGTTTCTCTGGATCGTGCAGTGGGCAGCAGTCTTCTTACCTCTCCTGATGCCAAAGAGCGTGGTACACTTCTGGAAAACACAGAGTGCCCGGCTTTGCCTGTCTTTATTTTTCCACTCAGATGATGAGGCAGAAGTTGCAGGTGTAAAGTTCCTTTTCAGGGTTCCATTCACCTCTGTCCTGCACTGGGATAGAGCGCAGGAACAGAGAGGGACGCTTCCAGCCCAAGACTTTAATAGCCTGGAGATAAGCTAGATCTGTTTTTTGTTGTTATGGTTTATTGATTTTGTAACCAACTGAAGGGGTGTCACCAATCTATCTCCTGGGGTGTATGGCTGAGGTTAGCTCTGCAGTGTGGCACCTCAGAAAGGGAGGTGCCAGCAGGTCAGATTGCAAGGACCCTGCGCATAGTCTCTGCTGATGATAGCGGGAGACTCCAAGGGTGATGTTTCCCCAGCTCACGGAGCTACTAACTGTTCGCCTTTCCCTTTCAGAACTCCATTCGTCACAACCTTTCTCTCCATGACATGTTTGTGCGGGAGACGTCTGCCAATGGCAAGGTTTCTTTCTGGACCATTCACCCAAGTGCCAATCGCTACTTGACGTTGGACCAAGTGTTTAAGGTGATTCCCCCGGTTTGAGCTAGAGAGCCAGAGTTGTTGGTTATAGAGCCTCTGGAAAGGAGCAGTGTTCCTCCTGACGTTCTCTGACTGAGAGAGCGCTAGAACCAGTTAATGGCTTGCATAGTGCCCTGACCTCAGGTAACAGATACCAAATAACACTCCTTTGCATTAGACCAGAGCTCAAAGAGAACTGTTCTGGTCCAAAATCGAGAAATATTTTTCTAACTTCCCCTGTAAGTAGACCATTGTTACTACAGCTTCCAGGTCTCTAATATGGGGTTCTGGAGAATGAATCTGGGATGGGCCTAGTAATGGCATGGGTGTCCTGTTCTGTCACTTTCGTTTCCTTGGGATGAAGTCTCTCGTTGAAACTGGAATACGTTGATTGTCGGCAAACCCGTGAATCCGCCTGTCTCCACCCCCACCTCATAGTACTGGGGTATAAGCACTTGCGTGGCCAGCCCTGACTTTATTTTTCAGTGCAGGGCTGGGATCTGAACTCGGATCCTTATGCTTATACAGCAGTCTGTCTTACCCACTGAGCCATCCTTCCAGCCCTATAATTTGTATTTCAGTATTGCTCCAAAGAAACCTTTTTTTAAGTCTAGAGACCAGAAATGGAGCCACAAGAACACGTTTTCAGGAAAAAAGTTGTTTTGGGAACTTCTAGTACCCATAAGGATGCGGTTGCTGTGCTGTTCTTCTGGAAGGGACCATTATCCATGGTGTCTCTTGGCACCCATCAAATAGGTTTCTTCCTAGTCTGGGTAGATTGACCACATTAGTGGTAACTTCATCTCATTTCTCTCCCTCGATGCCTGGCCGCCACCCAGCCACTGGAACCAGGGTCTCCACAATCGCCTGAGAACTTGGAATCAGTAAGATTCTTTTCCTCTGGCTCGGGGCTTGGCCTTATTTTCCTTCACTGCTCAGCATGGCTTTAGTGGGCAGAGAAGCTGTGATGTGGGGAGGGGACTGTGTTTGGCCCCATGGCTGCTAGCCCTAAACACAGCATCACAAAGGTGTGCTGAGCAGAGCAAACTGGGCACTGCAGGACCTGCCACTGCAAGGACAAGTGCATGGCATGGGCCTTGCAGGCAGCAGCAGCAGCCTGTTCTCTCAGCCTGCCTTTCCTTTGTCTCTCCGGTAGCTGTTGCATTCCCTGGGGGTGGTGAGGATCATGGTGTCGCATTGTCCTGTCCTCTCCTCATATGTCTGTTTCTGTCCATTTTTCCCCCAGCATGGCTTGACAGATTGTACTTACCTGCATCCATCGTTCAAACTAGCTTTTTCTAGTCATTGGGTTGTTGGTTAGGCCAATTGCATAAGCTCAAGTTATTGGGGTTCTGTTCTCTCCCCTCACCTTACTAGCCCTGGTTTCTTTCTCTTCCCAAAAGCAGCAGCAGAAACGACCCAATCCTGAGCTCCGTAGAAATGTGACCATCAAAACTGAACTCCCGCTGGGCGCACGTGAGTATGGGAGTGGGCCTCAGACCTCCTGATCTGGTTCTGGGGCCTAGCTTCAGCTTCTGTCTCCAACTTAAAGGATCCGAATGCACAGTTAAGCAGGGCTCCTGGAGTGGGAAGTAGCGAACCCATAGCTTTGCTACCTCTGATCTCTCCTGCTTCCTCCTAGGGCGGAAGATGAAGCCTCTGCTCCCACGGGTCAGCTCATACCTGGTGCCCATCCAGTTCCCAGTGAACCAGTCTCTGGTGTTACAGCCCTCGGTAAAGATGCCATTGCCTCTGGCAGCTTCACTTAGGAGCTCAGAGCTCGCTCGTCATAGCAAGCGAGTCCGAATTGCACCCAAGGTACTGCTAGCCAATGAAGGGATCGCCCCACTTCCTGCTGCTGGACCAGTGAAGGAGGAAAAACCCCTGCTTGAAGAAGGGCTATTGCCTTTGCTTCCTATTCAGTCCATTAAGGAGGAAGAAATCCAGCCTGGGGAGGACTTGACACCCTTCGAGAGGCCTGTCAAAGTGGAGAGCCCTCCCTTGGAAGAGTGGCCCTCTCCGTGTGCGTCACTGAAAGAGGAACTGTCCAATTCCTGGGAAGATTCTTCCTGCTCTCCTACCCCAAAGCCCAAGAAGTCCTATTGTGGTCGCCAGTCCCCAGCCCGGTGTGTCTCGGAAATGCTGGTGACCAAGCGAAGAGAGAAGAGGGAGATGAGCCGCTCTCGGAGGAAACAGCACCTCCGGCCACCCTGTCTGGATGAGCCTGAACTGCTCTTCTCAGAGGACCCCAGCACATTACAGCCGGCCATGGAGCCCCTACTCCTGGCGGAGTCGTCAGAGCCTGCGTTCCAGCTCGACTGCCCTCAAGAGGAGGGGGTGCCTTTCAAGACCCCCGTCAAGGAGACATTGCCCATCTCCTCCACTCCTAGCAAGTCTGTGCTCTCCAGAACCCCTGAGTCCTGGAGGCTTACACCCCCAGCCAAAGTTGGGGGGTTAGATTTCAGCCCAGTACGAACCCCCCAGGGCACCTTTGGCCCCTTGCCTGACTCCCTGGGGCTGATGGAGCTGAATACCACACCTCTGAAAAGTGTTCCCCTTTTTGACTCACCCCGGGAGCTCCTCAACTCAGAACCCTTTGACCTTGCCTCTGACCCCTTCAGCAGCTCTCCGCCTCCACATCTTGAGGTCCCCAAGCCAGACTACCCCGAGCCACAGGTCCCCAGCCTTTCAGCCAACCGTTCTCTCACAGAAGGCCTGGTCTTGGACACAATGAACGACAGCCTCAGCAAGATCCTTCTAGACATCAGCTTCCCTGGCCTGGAAGAGGACCCTCTGGGCCCTGACAACATCAACTGGGCTCAGTTCATCCCTGAGCTGCGATAGAGCCAAGGCCTTGTCTTTGCTACTCAAGCTGCTCACTATCCTGGCACTTGTGTGACTGGGTAGTACAAGGCTCAGTGTACCCCAAGCCCTCTGAGGGAAGCTGCCATGCAAGGGCTGCGCTGAGCCCTTTACCTAATTATGCCAAGAGATAGTCACATCGAAGCCACTGCTGGGACCTGTGCATGCAGCAGGGTCTCCAGAAGTCTGAGTCCTCCACTCTCTCTGCTGGTACCCGAAGGGTGGGCGTGACAAAAGCAGTGGCCATCAGGAAGTGCCCCATAGTCACCTGCTGCTCCTGGCAGGAAAACCCTTGTAAATGGTGTAAGTCCCCCAAATTGCCCTCTAATTATAACTGTAAGCTTATTTTCTTAGATCATTATCTAGAGACTGCCAGGAGCCGGTGGGGTGACAAGGGCTGCACTTGGATTCTGCTTGCAGCCTTTGGGGGAAGGACCTGCGGTGCAGTTTCTTCCACACTTGTGGGTTCTCTATGTATCTAGACATACAGGTTGGCTTGCCGGGATCCCGCTTACTGCCCTTTCCTGACACCCCCATGTTTCCAACCCAGTGGTCCTGGTAGAAAAGCCTGTTGGGTTTGGGTGTGGGGGATGGGTGCTCACATGCGTCCTGTTAGGTGTTCTCTGATAGTGTTCCTGATCATGCCAGGAAGCCAGCATTGAGAGCTCAGACCGAGGCCTGAGAAGGAGGAAGTGACCCCTGACCTGCCTGGCTTCCTTAGCTTGCACCTGAGCTTTGCAAAGAGCCACCCTGGGCTCCGATACACAAGCCAGCACAAGAACACTACTGTAACTACCTACTGAATAAAACCCAGGGTGGCACTGCTGGTCTCGAGGACTTGAATGAGGGGCAGTGGTGGAGACTGGAGATGATGGCCAGGGCCTTTCACAGAAGTTCCTCCCACACTCTTTTCTGACACAGAAATTGCCGGTTTTGTCTGATGTGGTTCATAGCTATAATCTCAGTCCTTGAGGTAGAGAGAGGCAGGAGGATCTGCCAGTCCAGCTACATGAGATCCTGGCTCTACAAAGTCCTGCCCACCTCTTCCCTGCCACCTAGTTCCATGGCCCAAACTCTGACCTGGGCTCCTGTCGACTCCTCAAGTAACACAGCACTTGTAGGCCTCAATTCCCCTCCCAAGCCATTCAACATTCAGGCCAGAAAGCTGGGCCCTTTGCAGGGGTCTCTTTACTTCTATCCCAGCCCCAAGCCTGAGAGCCTGTGTACTTCCTCCTCCCCAAACCTCCCAGACGAGGTCCTCCTGGAAGCACATCTTGTAACCAGAACTGACAGCCCCGCCCCCTCCCTACCTCACCAGGAAGGCATCAGGGACTGAAGAGCCTCCCAGGACAGGCAGTCTCCTCCCAGCAGCACTAGTCAGGAAGCATCACCATAGCAACCCTAGCAGCAAACAATGGTACCAGAGAGGGCTTTTCCCAAAGCCTCCCCTCCTGGCTCTGTGGCTCAGAGGAAGAATGGCCAGCAGCAGGGGAAGATCCCTCCAAATGCCAGGCGTGGACGATGTGCCTCATGTCAGGGAGCCTTTCCTACAGGTAGAGTGGAGCCGCCTCTGCAGCCGCCCTTTCATGTGTCCTGAGCAACAGGCTTCTGGTACACAAGCTCTTCTGCCTTCATCCTATGATATGCTGAGTTTGGAGCGTGGGGAGGAGGAGGAGGAGGAGCCTGGCTAGCACGGGTGGATGGGGCCTTATCTAAAGCGCATGGAAGCAGAGCTACTGTTAGCTTTGGGATTTTTGGATTTTGGAGTGTTTGTGTGTCATAAACAGACCCATAACTGCCCATAACATTTCTCTGTTTAGTATGTATCTTACACCCAGCCTGAATGTGACTTAATGCATGCAGTATTTTTAGGATGTTTGATATTTGAGACCGATTGCAAAAGCCAAATGTGGAATTTTCTACTTGTGACACCATGCCCTTGTCCAGGGGGAAAAAAATCAGATTTTTCGGCATTTGGGATCTTGCATTTTCAGATTTCAGGGGGTCTGTTTTTGTTTTTTCGAGGCAGTTTTGCTAGTAGTCCTGGCTAGCCTGATACTGTCAGCCTACAGTAGTCCTGTCTCAGCCTTCCAAGGGCGGGTATTATAGATATTTGCCATTTGGGCGAAGTTTTGGATTTGTTTGAACCTCCCTATATAGTCCTGGTTGAAGTTCACGCCTAGGCCAGGTTTTTGTCCGATCTGTGGAAATCTGCCTCTACCTCCTAACAAGTTAATACCATGTATTGCCATGCTTGGGATCGACGAGGCATGTTTGTGTTAGCTCTCAGGCCATGCCTCTGAGGTGCTCTTGTAGAAAAGACTTAGAGAGTTAGGTCCAGTGAGGAACACCTGTAATGTTAGCACTCAGTGGCTTGGTCCACCAAGGCTACACACAAGATCTTATCTCACAAAATCAAAAGGAAGGAGAAAATAAACCTGCAAACAAGCCAACAAGATGGTTCATGTAGTCAGGACACTGGCCGCTATGCCTGACACCCTGAGCTCCATCTCTAGAACCCACGTGGTGGAAGAAGATGGACTCCTACAAGCTGCCCTCAGACCTTCACATGCTATGACATGCATGTGTATGCACATGCACTAGATTTTAATTTTAAGGAAATGTGTGTAGGAGATGATGCTGAAGAAACTGGTGGGGTTTTGGAGTGGGTGAGAGGGAAGAACTATAGTCTTCTGCCCTGGTCGGACCATGAACAGGCTTAGTCATGCTTCACACAGCTAAGTCTGCTGAGGTTGAACACAGCTTAAACCTGAACTCTGCCACTTAGTTGAGCGAGGCCTCCTGTGAATTCCTTACTGTAACAGGGTCTTTACATCTGAAATAGGGGCTTTGTTGCCGATTTTGTCAGTTTTCTACTGCGGTGACAGAGTGCTGGTGATAACTGGGGCTCATAGAGGCTTCCTTCAGTGTGCGGCCATTTGGCCTTGCTGCCCTAGACCTGTGAGGCAACTCATGGAGGGAGAACATGGCACAGCAGGTGCTCACCTCAAGAAGCAAAGAGGCAGGAAGGGCCCTGGATCCCACTGTGTCCCCCGACCTGAGATTCTCCCAGTCAGTCCTCAGGCTGAAACCAAGTCATTTAGACCGGCCTTTGAGGGACACTTAGACAAACCATAGCAGAACTGGGTATTTTCTCATGGAGTTTTAGGAAAGGAAGGGGCCCCGTGTTTTGTGGCAGACAGACAGAAAAGATAAGGAAAGAACATTCTAGATGCTTTCTAGCCCAGCTGATCTTTGAGTGAGAAATGAGGGGAAAGTGCCAACGACAACAGGTAATAAGAAGACTGGGGTGGAAAGCTACCTGGCCCTCCTTTAGGGAGACTTCCTAGGGTGTGGCCAGGACAGGAACAAGGGAAAGGATGTTGCTAGAATGGCTGGGATGGATCCTCCCCCCAGGCCTGATGTGTCTACAGGGACACACATGAGGACGTCAGAACGGAGGAGAGTGCTAAAGGAAGTGGTGAGGCCAATGAGAGTTAAGGCATTTGCCACCAAGCCTGACACCTGAGTTCCTTGGAACTCGTAGTGGAAGGAGAGAATTGATTTCTGTAAGTTGACCTCTGACTTCCACGCTCACACCATAACACACATATACACTAAATAAATAAAACCTTAAGTGTAAGTAGGACCTAGAGATGCTCAGCGTTTAAGAGCCCTGGCTACTCTTCCAGAGGAGCCAGGCTCCCAGCACCTACATGGTGGCTCACACCATCTCTAACTCCAGCTCAGGGCATCCGATGTCCTCTCCTGACCTCCTCCTTTGGCACCAGGCATGTATGTCGTGCACAAATATACACATGAATTTTTAAAAAGATAAAAATTTTAAACCCAAGATGCAATTATATATCATTTTTAAAGAACAAGTTGAGAGAGTGGGAAATCAAAGCCAAAATTAATAACTAGAAAAAGAATGAGATTTGATAAGTCTATGGAAATGATACGGAGAATATTATTTGGATTGGGGCAATTGCTAGTGTCATTAAAGCAAAATACCTGACAAGCAAAATTAAGGGCCCTGTAGTCGATCATGGTAGGAGTTTGTCGGCAGTCAGGAAGGTAAATGCTGGTGCTCAGCTTTCTTCTGCATGGTGGCATCAGAGTTAATGCGGATCGTTCCACCTCAGTTAATCTACTCTAGACAGGCCCCTTCGAACGTGCCAGAGACTTGCATCCTATATGATTCTCTATCCTGTCAAGCTGCCAATGTTAAGAGAGCTAGTTCAGTTTGTGAAGCGCTTGCTATACAAGTGTTACAACCAGAGTTCAATCACAAGAACTTGTGTAAAACTTTTTGCAGGGAACTGGAGAAATTGCTCGGTGATTAAGAGCATTTGCTGCTCTTGCAGAGGACCTGGGTTAAATTCCCAACACCTACACGGCAGCTCACGACCATCTTTAATTCTGTTGGGTCCCCCAGTCTGCCCTCCAAGAGTAACAAGCACACACATGGCACACACACATTCTTGCAGGCAAAACACTCATAAAGTAAAAATAAATCCTTTTCAGGTAATAAAGTTTTAAGTGGTAACACTTAATAATCCCAGGGCTGGGAGTTGGGGTAGGGAGAGGTGGACTCTTGAGACTTAATGGCTGATGGCCAGTCTGTAGCCAGACCAATATAATTCCTAGACCAGTGAGAGATACCCTGTCTCAAAAAAAAAAAAAAAAAAGATGAGCAATATCCAAGGTTCTCTCCTGACTTAGGAACGGTCTTATGCACGCGTATGTATATACACCTGATGACAGCGGGAATGGAGAGACACCTTTTCGTGGAGGTCATCTGCGTCCTGATGAGTCCTGGATTGGAGGCTGGCAGCTTGTGCCTGGGAAGGAGAGCAGGGCACTTCTTGCAGCATCCTGCTCTGCGGGCATAGCCCTTCTAGGCTCTCTTTTGTGTCTCCCTAGATGGTCCATGCCAGAGAATCCTACCCCACCGACCAGACTTGGACTCAGCGTGAGTTCCTCCTCCCCAGAGAGGCCAGAGACTTGCCAGGCTTCACCCAGCAACCCTACCACAAGCTGGCCCTGAAGCAGCCACCATACACAGAGATGAAGTCTAAGGTTTATCACCAGGCACGCTATCCTTGGAAGGATGAAACCAAGCACACCTGGGGCTTTCACACATGGCTCGATGTGGGGCGTCTGCCTGCCACCTTCCCCACCAGGCCAGACATACCCTATGACAGTAATGTCTGGCGCTGGTTGACCCATTCCAATGGACACCGTCTCCCTGCTGCACAACCTGCCATTCCTCCGCCCTCCTGGATGGGCCCACACAGCTTCCTGACCTTCATCAGCGCTACCCCCATCTTCACGGACGTGAACAGAGAGAACCAAGTGATTCTGAGAGCCGTGAGAGAACTGAAGGAGGTGGAGAGACTCAAGCTGAGGAGCGAACTGAGGGCCCCTCCACTCGATGCCCACGGCAATATTCTGCCCCCACCAAACTTCAAGAAGTAAGCTCACCCCTTCCCAGGCAGTGATCCCGCCCATGTTCATGTGCCCCTCCCACGGCTTCCCAGTCCTGTTTTGGTATCTAATTTGCATCTCCAACTTTCCAACTCATGGTCATCTGAGACGTTTTCTTCTGTGCAGTTGGAACCCACGGCCTTGCAAACACCAAACAAGGGTTCTGCCGTGGAGCCACACCCCCAACTGCTTCCTGAAAGTAGCTGGCCAGATGGTGCAGATGGAGGGGTGGGAATAACGGGGAAAGGCACTTGGTTATCTAACTAAAAATGGAGAGAGGGTACTGTGAATTTAACTTCTGCTTGGCCTAGGGATACTGAGAAATGTAATTCGGTCCCTGGCTTTAAGAGATAGAAGAGACACCTACCATAGCCACACTATACCTGCAAAACACCCACAGGGTGTATATGAGAGAGAGTTGGTGGGTGTCATTATTATGTTTATTTTCTTCTATTGAGGCAGGATCTCACTATATTGTCCAGGCTGGCCTTGATGGCAATTCTCCAGTCTGTCTCTTGAGTGCTAGGATTACATATGCATGCCATCATGCCTGGCTGTCATTTTTTTCTTTTTAAGTTTTTTAAAAAAAATTATGTGTACGAATGTTTTGCCTGAATGTATGTCTGTACACCACAAGTATGCCTGGTGCCTAAGGAAGCCAGAAAAGGTGGTCAAGTTCCCTGGAACTAGAGTTACAGACAGTTGAGAGTGGCCCATGTGAGTGCTGGAAATTGAACTTGGGTCCACTGGGAAAGCACCCAGTATGCTTAACCACTGAGACATCTCTAGGCCTTCCCTCTTTCTTCTTTCCTTTCTTTTCCTTCCTTCCTTCCCTTTCCTTTTCTTTCTCCTTTCCCTTCCTTCCTTCCTTCCTTCCTTCCCTCTATCCTTCCTTTCCTTTTTTTAAAACAAGGAGAATATAGAATATATTACCTGCCCGATGCACAAGAGTATTAAACCCCTAGTAAATCTCCCCTCCTCCTTTTTACAGCTGGAGTCTCATGTGGCCAAGGCTGGCCTTGAACTCATGATTCTCCTGCTTTCGCCTCCAAAGTTCCAGGATTAGAGACATATACCACCACATCTGTCCAGTAAAGTCCATTATTAATAGAGGAAGCAGAAATGAAACCTGGGGTCAGATTTTTCAGACCCAGAGAGTATCATTTTGACAAGTGGCTTGGATTCTCCAGGCTCAATTGGTAAAGAAGGATCAGAAACACTTACGTCACAGGATAAGTATGAACCAGGTTGTCAGTATGTAAAAGAACCAAACCAGGAGCTTAGAGTACAGCTCGGAGGTGGAGTACTTGCTTATATGCCCAGGGCCTTGGAGTCTATCCTCCTCAAAGGAAAGGAAAGAAAGGTGGGAGAAAGAAATTGAACCAAAGTTAGATCTTATCTTGTCTGGGAGGAGTGGAGGGAGGGAGGGAAGGATGCACCTCTCCCTCCCCAGGGCTAATAGGCAAGTTGACAGTTCTTGGAGGGGAGACATTTCTTTCAAGGGTGGAGCCACTGCTAAGGTGCACAGGTGTCTGTAAGTAATCCTACAGAAATGCAGTGGGCCACACACACTAACTGGGAACAGGAAGGGGGTCCCTAGGAAAGGAAGACAAGAAAGGATAATGAGAGGGAATATGATTCAAATATGTTATATACAGGAATAAAAATACAATAAAATGCATTATGTATAATGTAATAAAAACTGTAGAAAGCTGATATTACAGAAATGTGTGGGCGGGCAGGACTCCTGTGAGCTGCAGTGTAGGTTAGAAGGTCTTCAGAGGGTTACAGAGGAGGGGCTAGAACCATCTAGGCCCCACTGGGGTGGTCTCTGAAGAGACAGACCTCAGAGGGAACTGCTTGTGTGTGTGTGTGTGTGTGTGTGTGTGTGTGTGTGTGCACGCGTGCGCACATGTGCACAATGCTTGTGAGGCCAGAAAGGGGCATCAGATCCCTTGGAGCTTGAGTCACAGGATTTTGTGAGCAACCTGGCATAGATGCTAGGATCTGAACACTGCACTTCTGATAGAGCGCTAAGCCATTTCTTGACCACGGCGTCATTTCTCCAGCCCTAATAGAATTTTTTTCTTTTTTTGGAGACAGGGTGTTTCTATATAACCGTGGCTGGCCTGAAACTCACAGCTCTAGGATTAAAGTATATGCCATCATACCTAGCTTGAGGTTTTGTCTTGGTTTTCAAGACATGGTTTCTTTGTGTTGCCTTGGCTGTCTTGGAGCTGAATTTGTAGACCAGGTTGGCCTCAAACTCACAGAGACTCACCTGCCTCTGCCTCTGGAGTGCTGGGATTAAAAGCATGCATTACCACCTACCAGCAGAGATTTTTAATTAAAAGAAGAAGAAGAAGAAGAAGAAGAAGAAGAAGAAGAAGAAGAAGAAGAAGAAGAAGAAGAAGAAGAAGAAAAGAAGAAGAAGAAGAAGAAGAAGAAGAAAAACAAATAGTGAAGCCTGGGCAGCTTAGGGGAGGGCACTTGTTTAGTATGTACAAGGCCAGGTTTAACCTCCAGCTCTGCACTCAGGTGCACACATGGAGATGACTCAGTGGGTAAGCACTTGCTGCCCAAGCACAGGAACCTGAGTTCAACACCTCCACGCCCATGTAGAAATAGCTGGGCACAACCGTGCATACTTGTAACCCCAGGGATGCTGGGAGATAGCCAGGCAGCTTCTAGGAGCTCACTGGCCAACTAGCCTCACCGAAATGTTGGGCTTCAGATTTTGTGAGAGACTCCGCCTCAAGAAAGTAAGGCAGAGAGTGAGAGAGCAGGGTACTGAGAGCTTTCTCTGGCCTGCACCAGCACCTGCACACGCTGCACGCATGTACCTTACACATGTGTGTTTATAGACATACACATTCAATTTTTAAAACATGGCACCAGAGTTTGGTGACTTCAGGTGAGTCACATTGAGGAACTCAGCTCTCTCTCTCTCTCTCTCTCTCTCTGTCTGCACGTGAAGACTATTGGTAACTAATGTGTGGCGCACAGGCATTTCAGAAAGATTTGCAATCGTGAAGGACGTGGTGGTGCACGCCTATAATCCTGGCAGTTGGAAGAGACTGAGGCAGGCGGGTCAGGAATTCAAGGCCACCTTTGGCTACTTAGTAAGTTGGAGGCTAGCCTGGACTATATGAGACCTTCTTTCAGAAAAGAGAGTGGATGGGTGTTAGTTGAGTGAGCTCAGTTAGTTGACAGAGTGTTCGCCTAGCATGCATGAAGTCCTCGGTTCAGTGCCTAGCACCACATGAACTAGACATGGTCTGGCTACATGAGATTCTATCTTAATCCCTAGGACCCTCTGCATAGAAACTCAAGGTCTTGTATGCGTTTGGCAAGGTGTCTACTAGGCTACATCCCTGGGGAACTTTACAAACTATCCCAGGGGTGGGGGCGTAGCTCGGGAATATAGCTTCTTATTTACTATGCAAGAGTTCAAAGTTCCGTTTCTGCACTAACAACAGCAATAGTAATAAAAATATAATAATAACAAATGAACAACAATAAAGTTTCTGGGGTGATTGTCATGTGTAGCTGCAGCTGAGAACCTCGAATAAACCAAAGGCAGCCGACAGGAATATCTGCTGAGCCAGGTACGGAGCCTCTTGAAGCACAGAAAATCTGCTACTATTCAACCGTGCTGTTGTTTTTGTTTTTAAGTCAATTTGCTCCTGTTCAATTTAATGCTACAGGCCAGCACGGAAGAGGAAGTTGCCTGCCATGCTACGCTGAGTTCAGCGGTCTTACCATCTGCTCCGCATTAGTAGAAAAAGAGGCGAAGAATGGCTGGAATTTAGATAAAAAATAGAGTCAGGCGTGACGGTAGAAACCTCTGGAGGAGGAAGCAAGAGGATCTCAAGATGGAGAACAGCCTGGACTACAGACTGAGAAGGAAAAAAAGAAAGAAGGAAGCCAAGAGTGGAAAATCAGACTGGGGTGTAGCTCAGTAGTGGAGTGCTGGCCAAGCACATGCAAGGCCCTGGGTTCAATCCCTAGCAACACATACATATTTAAGAAGAATCTAGGTGAGGGGCTGGAGAGATGGCTCAGCAGTTAAGAGCACTGGCTGCTACCCATATGGCAGCTCACAATCGTCTGTAACTCTAGACTAAGGGGATCTTATGCCTTCTTCTAACTTCCCTTGGCACCAGGCTAACAAGTGGTGTACACGGCAACATGCAGGCAAGACACTCATAAAATATTAAAATTAATAAGCACAAAAAAAATATGTCACAGGGGCTGGAGAGATGGCTCAGCCGTTGGGAGAGCTGGCTTTTCTTCCAGAAGACCCAGCACCTACATGGCAGCTCACAACTGTCTGTAACTCCAGTTCCAGGGAATCTGATACCTTCACACCAATTCACATAAAATAAAGTTAAATAAATTATTTTTAAAAAATGTAACAGAGCCGGGTGGTGGTAGCGCACGCCTTTAATCCCAGCACTTGGGAGGCAGAGGCAGGCGGATCTATGTGAGTTCAAGACCAGCCTGGTCTACAAGAGCTAGTTCCAGGACAGGCTCCAAAACCACAGAGAAACCCTGTCTAGAAAAACCAAAATAAAATAAAATAAGTAGGGGCTGGAGAGATGGCTCAGCGGTTAAGAACATTGTCTGCTCTTCCAAAGGTCCTGAGTTCAATTCCCAGCAACCACATGGTGGCTCACAACCATCTGTAATGAGGTCTGGTGCCCTCTTCTGGCCTGCAGGCATACACACAGACAGAATATTGTATATATAATAAATAAATAAATATTTAAGAAAAAAAATAAAATAAAATAAGTTTAAAAAACTTAGGTGATATACTATACAGTTGTCCAAAGGATAAAAGACGTACAGCTAGACACAGTTAAAATGCAGCCCAGCTGGTATATAGCCTGATCCCCAGTAGCTGCTGGGAATCATCACCTGCCCTTTCCACCTCTCCCTACCATGCCTGGAACCTTCCCTTGACTCTGCTGTCTCTGAACCACTTTCCCAACAGGTCTCAGTTCATCTCTGATGGCGGAAGGCTTGAGCCTTGGGGTCTCCAGATCCTACCCAACCCACTTCCCAATAATTTCACCAAGAACTGGCCCTGCCCAAACCCACAGCCGCACTACCAGGAGAAGGTGCTGAAACTGGCTCGGCTGCCCTGTGTGCCCCTGAGCGAAGACCTGGTGAGGGACTACCAAACCCTGATAGAGAACCGGGTTGCCATGCCCCTCTACCACCTGTCCAAGGCAAGACCTGCCAACACATCAGCCAGAAAGAGGAAAAGAAGCCCTGGATATGTCTAAAAGAGCCTCCCGGTGGGAGGAGGCCAGAGTGGGCCTCAGGATACATAGCCTAGCCTGCTTCAGCAAGAAGCCTCAGGAGGCTGAGGACTCCAGCTTCTAAAGAATAACCTGCCATTTTCCAGCCTCATACCACCTCTGTTTCAGGTTTCTGGAGACATGGCTGAAGCTCTGAATTGTTCTCTGTTTTCCTTGGCAGACTCATAGTAGTATGGGAAGATTAGGGAAGAGAGAAGGGGTAAGACAGCTAGAATTTCTGTAGGCTCCAGCTCTTAAGGTTAGAATAAGGAGTGGTGAGGTGTGGTGTGTGTGTGTATGTGTGTGTGTGTGTATACTGGGGTAAGGAAGAGGTATGGTAAGAAATGTGGGTAAGGAATTGCAGGTTGGGAATATAGCTCAGTGGTAGGGCCCCATCACACATACAAAAAAAAAAGTTGTCTCTACACTCAGAACCAATACACAACGACACTAGGATTGGTTAGCGGACAGAAAACTTCCTAGGCAGCCGGGCACTGGTGGCACACAGAGGGCTCCCTGCAGAATTTGGTCACAGGCAGTGCTGGAGACTCAAGCCTGAGGAAGGCAGCTGTTCCTCAGCGGGGCAAGAGCGGAACAAGGAGACTCCAGGTGTAGGAGGCACTGAGGCCCTTGTGCTCACGGAGAAGCACTGAGGGAACCAGGAATGTTAAACACACAGGCTTGGCTCTTCAAGGGGAAAAACAAATAACCCATTTTCCACCCAGAGGGCTGCTGGTTAATAGCCTTGTGACCTTTGTGCTATCTGTGTGGCTGAGACCACACCGGCTCCTCCCCAGACCCTTACAACGAGCTTGTTTTTCTCAGTTAATCCATGGAACCCATCTTCATGGAAGAAGATGTCACTTGTGCTTTACAAAGAGTTTTGATGTAATTTTGTCTTGAGCTTTATTGTTCACAGGGATTTAGTTACCAGAAAAAATGACAACAAATTGTGCTGTGATTAAATATACCTAAAATAAACTACTCGGGGTCAGGATCCCGAAGTTTGAATCAACACCAGCTACTGCGTTGTGCTGAACCAAACTACCTTCCAAGACATAACAAAACAACACAGAACAAAAATGCACAAGAGGCTAAAGAGGTGGCTCAGTAGTTAAGAATGCTGACGATTCTTACAGAGGACTCAGGTTCACTTTCTAAGCACTAAGGATGGTAGCTGACAACTGTTTTCACTGCAGTTCTAGGGGATCTGACACTCTCTTTTGGCCTCCATAAACACCAGGCGGATATGGTACACAGACATACAAGCAGGCAAAACACTCATACTCATAAAATAAAAATTAAATAATAAGAAAAAACCTTATGCAAAAAGAGAACAGAGAAATAAAGGTTTTTGCTCTCATAAGCCTTAGGATAAAGTCGGGCGGGGGGGGGGGGGGCGGAATGGGACAGAAAAGCAAAAATAAAGTGTCAGAATTAATGATGGGCAGTGGGGGCGCATGCCTTTAATCCCAGCACTTGGGAGGCAGAGGCAGGCGGATCTCTGTGAGTTCGAGACCAGCCTGGTCTACAAGAGCTAGTTCCAGGACAGGCTCCAAAACCACAGAGAAACCCTGTCTTGGAAAAAAAAAAAAAATCCTGAGTTCACATCCTGAAGAAATTCCTCCGTTTATTCTCCAAACAGTCTTAATACCATAACTTAGGGGAAATACATTAGCATTCTGTCTCCTAGGTAACCAGGTGACTGGCTTCCAGTCACATCCACAACTACCTGTCTGCTGTGTGTGTTAGCTGTCTGGTAGGTTTGAATCAACATCTCTATAAGGCATCCTCCAAATTACAAAGGAAGGGGCAAAACATCCTGACCTTTTGTTAGGTTGGCGACAGCCTGCCTGGCAGGATACCTGACCACCTCAGGTGGGGACTATGGCTTTAGAGCCTGGCTGCCACATCATATAAAAATATGGGCCTACAGTGTGGAGGCAGGGCAGTTTCTTCCCAAGATTTCAAAATTGGCACTGGCTTCCTGGGAACTTTGCTGGGCAGAAGAATCTTTGCAAGACACATCATTCATGCCTTCAGCAGATCTGACAGGCCCACAGGAGAAAGCCTGAAATAGAATTGGCTGCCCTTAACCTTCCAGTGGCTCAAGGGAGCAGTCTGTCCAGCTCTGAATAACCCATTCTACCTAGAATATTCTGGGAATTTCCTTATGTGGCAGAGTACAAAGGGTGGGTAGGTGGGGTGGTGATTCACTGAGCCCTCAGGCTCAATTCATCCTACGAGCAAGATTTGCACTATTCAGCTTTAAGGAATGAATATAGAAAGGGTATGAAGATACTTAAAGGACCAAAGGGCCTTAAATCTCTTCTGTGGCTGGATGGTGGTGGCGCACGCCTTTAATTCCCCCCCGCACTTGAGAGGCAGAGGCAGGGGAATCTGTGAATTTGAGGCCAGCCTGGTCTAAAGAGTGAGTTCTAGGACAACCAGAGCTACATAGAAAAACCTAATGACTCGAACCCCCAACCCCACCAAAAAACAAAACAAAACAAAAGGCTTTGTGGGAGCCTAGGCAGTTTGGATGCTCACATTACTAGACCTGGATGGAGGTGGGTGGTCCTTGGACTTCCCACAGGGCAGAGAACCCTGATTGCTCTTTGGGCTGGTGAGGAAGGACTTGATTGGGGGAGGGGGAGGGAAAGGGGAGGCAGCGGTGGGGAAGAGACAGAAATCTTTAACAAACAAAAAAAAAAACTCCTCTGTGGTTTGAACAATAGGGCAGGGACTTAGAATACAGCTGCAGTGAGTTAGAGGCTTACTTTAGAGTCAGAGTTAGTTCAAGGTCATCCAGGGATACATAGTGAGTTTGAGGTCACCCTGAGTTCATGAGATACTGTCTTATTATATAAACACACA